TGGCAGAGAATGATTCATGGTATTCATAGAAAAGACACTGTAGGAGAGATTGAAGTCTAAAATGATGGTCAAAAATGTATCGAGCTTCCCTTCATATTCCCGTGATGGAAATTATTAATTTATTTCCATTTTTAATTTCATTGATTTATAGTAGGCCTAGTATAAATACTTATACACATACAACTTCTGTATAATTGCCTCAAATATGACTTACTGCAGGCCAAATATTTCCATAATAAAACATTGCTTATGCAGAATAGTATTATATACCTGCCAAGATGCGATTCCTAAGGAATTGCTGCTGCAGGGGGCAGGAAGCTAGAACTCGTGGCTGGATCTGGGACTCCAATTCCCAGAATCCTCGGGAGTGTGACGTCAGTGGCACAAGTGGTTGAACACGGAAGTAGAAACATTTGTTTACATGCAGGCAGAGGAAATCGAGTTTGTTCACGGGAATATATCGTGCAATTAAAGGCTTCAAGCGCTGATTTTACTTCGAGAAGGTAGGACAGGGAGGCAGGTACTTTGGGAATGCCGGGGTCAGCTTGCTCCTGCCTTTTTTGGTGTTTAATTACCCGCCGACCGAGAGACTCTTAGCTGACACACAAGAAAGGGGTTGTTACCGGAGCTGGTGTAGAACTCGGGACTTCCTCTGGCCCAAAGGATATTAAAAGTTACTCAAAATGAGGACGGAAGGGACACCTGAATGTGTGTAGTGCGGGAGCTGTGGCTCGTTCCAGCGGCGTCTGAACCATGCTCTGAGCTAGCCTGTGTTTCGGGAATGAGGCATTTCTTACGGCTTCTTGCGTATGATGATTCGGTTCCAGAGTCGGAGATTGCAATAGACATTTGCAAGGACAGCACCGGCAGGCAAGCAGCAGCAACATGAAACACAGCAGCAGGAACATGAACGCAGCAATAGCAAGTGAACACAGCAGTGGCAGCAGGCAAGCAGCAGCGACGTAGAGGTAGCTGCGGCAATAGCAGCAGCAAGCAATGCATGGAGAGAGATCTGCAGGTTAAATAGAGCGGCATATTAAGGAGACTCTGTTTGGTTGGTTGTAGAGTGGCAAGGGGCGTTATGTATGAATGCAGCATAAGTGCTCGAGTTGACTGCCTGAACTAGCTCGCAGGCTTCGCCTCATTTGTTTAAATATTAGATATGACGTTATGTGTGCTTCTGTGACAATTACATTTGTTAAAGATGTTTGTCTTTTACCCTTACGTGTGTGTTACAAATGAATGTGAATATGGCATAGGACAAATATTTAAATTGACTGTCTCATGAAAAACAATTCCAAAATAACAGTAAAATAAAAAGGACCCCAAAAGGACAATAATACACAATCCAACTGATAAGATACAGTAAGGGCTGTATCTTATCAGCACTTTTTTTAAGGATAACAAAAAGATTATCACATAACGTTTGCATGTAAAAAAAAAGTCTGTGACCAACACATTGTTACATTACTATCATCATCATATATATCTGTTTGTTTAAAGTTTCCAGGTGGTGCAGACAGACCAGAGGATGCTGAACACGAGAGACAGACCGAGATTCCTGACATACTGTACAAAGAATCGAGAAACGTTCTGGTTTAAATAGATAAAGTAACAACTATAATACACTGATATACATGCCATTAAACATGACTAAATACTGACATCAGGGAAATTGACTGTTCCTTCCTTACAAAAAGTTACATTTCAATTTTACATTTCAATGTATTTAAGGCGAGACACGGCAGGCAAAAACATCGTTTTTCAAGTACTGGTCAATTTTGAGATTTTGTACTATTTTGATTCTATAACATGTTTTCTTTCAGGCTTTTGGAAGGAAAACGTACAAAATACACATTTAACTGTTTATTTTACTATAGTTTGTCTATTTGCGTCTGTAGATTTCTCCTAAATTCACCAAAAGTTAGCATTCTAACGTAACATAAAGTACCGCGACCGCTGTGTGCACCATGTCAACAGAGGTATCGCTGGAAAGCTGTGTCTCTCCTGCACAATCTCATCGGATCCAAATATGGTCATTTCCTTTGTATCAGCAACCAATCGTGAAAGCACAAAGGGGTCTTAAACCAAGAAACGAAATCTCATTGGTTGGTGTCAATTTCTGACAACGTGATTCGTTCAGATGCGTCACGTGGTGTGCTAAAACACTTCCTGGTTAGCTTTCAGCTAGAAATTGAAATCTCAAAATGCCAAAAGAACGGCGAAAAAAACTTTCACAGAGAAGAGGACAACAATTGTCACTTGCACGAAGCAAGGTTATAAAACAAAAAATGACCCTGAACATGAAATACCTTCACGGAGTGCGTCGATGCGCAAGCTGTCATCCAAAGAACAGGAGGGTTTAGCTAGCGCCTCACTGCAATCTTTAAAGGTCGTTTTCTCAAAATGAGTTTTTTCTCCTACTCTGAGTTCGAAATTTCAACTTCAGTAGCACGTACATACACCAAACCTTCCAGTTATATTCCTATCAATATTATGAAGGCTTTTACAGAAGGGTTTGTTCATATATAATTCATAGCCTGAATTATACAACATTGTATACCTAAAAACATGGCGAAAATTGATATTTTAGGGCTGTTGACAGTATTTTCTGATTTATGGAGTGATAAAAAGAGATATCCAATATCCCTTCTGTAAAAGCCTTAGATACTAATATGACTACAAAATGAAACAAGACTTTTGAATCTGGCTATATCCAAAGTTCAGATTTCAATTCCTGAAATGTGTTAAAATATGTGCATATCTAATGAGATAATGGATAATTTGCATATTTAAACATGCTATTTCAGAAAAGTTGTAATACAAAAGACAATTGCCTTATTGTAAGTAATTAACTGGAGACATTTCTAGCTGATACCTTTAAGTTACAAAAATTACCCTATTCACCTGGGGTGTCTCGCCTTAAGGCAATTATTATTTTACATTGTGAGAATTGCTACCATTTGTCTACATATTGTCTGTAAAAAATGTGGTAAAAGTGGTTCTTGCAGTGAGACAACCCAACAGCATGATTGTAACTGTCTTCACTCTCTGGTTGTTTATTTTGTTCCACGTTGTATTTTTGGTTCCTACCTTTTATGTGCAACATTAATAGGGGCGGAACTAATCTGCGGTGTTTTGTGTTACACCTGTTTGTTTAATCGACACACTTGATAGTCAAACTGCAGAGCAACGCAGAATGTAAAGAAAATCTAAGGGAAAAATGCAGTTAAATATATCAGCCCCTCTAGATGACTAGCAGCCTACAAGGTACGTTTTTGTGTTGGTTGTTTGTAGTGATGGGTCGTCGCGAACGATTCGTTCTTTTTGAACGAATCTTTGAAGTGAACTGATTCCTCCCACAAAACGATTTGTTTGTTTGAGTCTTAAAGAACTGGCGGAAACAGTTCAGAACTGTTTCCTACAGTGTACTGTAATCAGAGCCCTCTCACCTGAGCTCCGTTACACACACACACACGCACGCACACAGGAGCGGGACATCCTCCTCAACCTGTCCGCCATAAAAAGGACGGATACCTGAACCGTAGCGTCCAGCTAGCTTAGCGATAAATACACACATCGTTGTATTCTCCTCCTCGTGTCGGCCCTAAAAGCTGAGCTCCATAGCGTCCCGCTAATGTGAAACACACACACAGCGTTAGGGGGAGGAGAATGTCCCGCTGTCGGCACTAAAGGCTTCAGATGGTGGATACCTGAGCTCCATAGCGTCCCGCTAATGTGAAATACACACACACAGCGTTAGCGGGACATTCTCCTCCCCCTGTCGGCACTAAAGGCTTCAGATGGTGGATACCTGAGCTCCATAGCGTCCCGCTAATGTGAAATACACACACACAGCGTTAGCGGGACATTCTCCTCTCCCTGTCGGCCCTAAAAGCTTCAGAGGGCGGATAGCTGGGCTCCGTAGCGTCCAGCTAGCTTAGCGATAAATACACACAGCGTTGTATTCTCCTCCCCCTGTCTGCCCTAAAAGCTTCAGATGGCGGATACCTGAGCTCCATAGCGTCCCGCTAATGTGAAACACACACAGCGTTAGCGGGACATTCTCCTCTCCCTGTCGGCCCTAAAAGCTTCAGAGGGCGGATAGCTGGGCTCCGTAGCGTCCCACTAGCTTAGCCGCTAGCTAAAGGTAAACATAGAAGGGTACATAGAATATGAATAAATCGTCACCGATGTAGAGGATATATTTTTTTATTCACTTTGAACTCCGCCAAATGGAGTTTAATGCTTTGGGATTTAAGTTAGGCCACATAGTACGTGCATGGATTTGAAAATATAACGTGCTAGCCTGCTGTAATACATCGTATAGTCAGGCACACATTTATGAGAGATTTAACAATGACCAATGATATTTCTTAAATAATATGTAGCCTATTCCCAGAGCATAATTCATGGGGCAACAAGGTGAGGTGTAAAATGTGTTTTAATATCATAAATGTTACGTCAGCAAACTTCTTGTACGGACTTCGGCAGTAGTGAAGACTCACTGAACGAATTAAGTAGGCCTACAAAGACGAATCGTTCGCGAACGTGCAAATCACCAGAAGTCGTTCGCGAACCGGTGAACGAATCAGTGAACAAATCTTTCAAGTGAACTGAATCAAAATATTTGTGTCCCTGAAGGGAATCGGAATTCCCATCACTAGTTGTTTGTCTAAATGTGTGTGGTTGAGCTGCAGGTTATATGTAGCCTATGTATGCTATGCGCTAGCTTGTGCTACATGCTATTGTTAGCTTGTGCTACATGCTGTGTGGGATATGTGTGCCGTTTATTGTTTTATTTAGCGGCATCAACAGTGATGACATGCATATATTCCATATTTATTTATTGTTTACCATAGTTTTTGTCTTACAACCCAGTTATCACGGGTTGGAATAGGTTCCACAAGAATAAACCCCGTATTTAATCAAGACCTCAGCCTCGTGTCATTTAATGGAGGGAGCTACAGTGAGAACTCGACTGCTCCGCATGAGTAGACGAGTAAAACGGCGCCAGATGGCAGCGATCCATGGACGGCACGGGACATCTCCGTCGCAGCGTGTGCATATGTAGCAGCCATCTACACAGCCAACCCAGTCTCACGGCATTTCGTGTTCACCAACACGATTTTTAATATATTGATTCGTGTCCACCAACACGATTTGCCCCTTTTTTTGGTGTTGCACAGCACGATTTTAAAAGCAATGTATTTCTACTGCCTGCAGCACGTATTTTTCTCCGGTCGGGTCGAGGAAGACCGGAAGCTGTGTGGTTCATAAAAACATGTTCTTACTCAAGATCAAGCCACAGTTATTGCTTTTATTTGAAATCGTATAATTTCTGACTTTTGTTACCGTCTGTGAGGAAAATAAATGGGGCTCAGAGCCTCAGAATACGGAAATCTGTATTTTTAAATATTTTTTTCCTTCTAATTCGATATTCTTTTCAAAATAACACACTGTTATTTACTCACCAATAACACACAATTATCCTTGCTTTTATTTATTGGTTTAATTCCATAATCTCGGGCTTTTTTGGCGTCCGTCAGGAACTGAATTTCAAAATAAAAATAACCGGAAACAGACGTAGGCCTATAAGGGACATTTCGAGCATCATTGCGATTGTCAACATTTCTGAGTTTAGGATGGCCGAAGACACTACACTACCCATAATCCCCAGCTAACGTTTAGGACTACAGTCCCCGTAAGGTTACGCAGAGCGTCAAACAGCTGTGTGAAATGGAACGAAACCACGCCAGACTATCCAAAACTGAAATCGAACGCCCCCCCCAGAACTACACATGCTGGCTATTGTGTTTCGCAAAATGTTCTATGGCACGTCTCTACTGAACGTTTTCGTTTTTCCCACAATTAGAAGTTGCCAGTATTAAACACATTGGTGTTATCAAATGTAAAACATATCATTAATAAATGGGTGAAAATTGCTTGTGTCCATAATGCGCAGCATTAATACCCACATGACAGCTCATTGTTACTTTGTAATTCTACTCCACTACAATTCAGAGGTTAACCTGGTATTTTTACTCCACTGCATTTATTTGAGTTACTTTGCAGATTCTGATTAATTATGTGAAATATAAACAACCCTTAAATCAGACTTTAGTTACACCTGAGTAAAATTCAGGTAAGGTGATTGTCAAGTGCCAACAATCAGGAGATATTTGATAGTTGGTGCTTGAGAAGACTAAACATGTATCTGCAATTGACATGAATGGAAACGAGTAATAAAGTATATTCATTACTCGTTATTCTCTACTAATAGTTAATTAAAGACTGTATATTATGGCTATTTTGTACATCCCTTTCAAGATTTTCAAAGGTGTATTGACATATCATATACACAACTACGGTGTAGTTATGCAATGAATGAAACACTTGGGTCACAGGTTCCTCAACAGTGCATTACAAGACATCTATCAATATGTGTGTACCTCCACCATTAAACTGTCATATTCTGCACATTTCTTATTCTATCTACATACATAAGAGTATAATTCATATGTATAATATCAGTTAAAATAAGTGCTTCAACATAGTTAACATTGCAGGAAAGCAATATATTAGACGTTAAGTACTTTCAGTGTTTCCCACAGATCTGAAATATACTTGGGCGGGTGGTGGCAGCGGGCGGGGGGTGGGGGTGCGCAAAAAAAAAAAAAAGTTTTCATTTTGTATAATCATTTTGTATAATCATTTTGCGTAAAGATGGCACTCAAGGGCACACTAGTGGTGGTGTTCCTGGCGGGATTTGAACTCACAGCCTTCCGATCTTCAGCCCACCTCACTATCCATTGGATCAATCACTACCCTCTCAAATGGAAATATGTGTTTACATAAATGGTGACCACACTGTTTGAGACCCACTGAGAACTTAAACTAAGTTAACTATCTAAACACTCAGAGAGTCCTTTACCTCACCTGAGCTGAGGTTATCCCGAGCTTGAATGACACACAGAGACCAATCAAGGGCTTTGATTTATGATCTCTATGACAGTGGCCATGTTGGCAGGCCACATCATGTAGACAGCCAGTCACCCTGTGTGAGGCAGGCCACTTAACGAGGCGAGATCAGAGCAAGGGAGCAAGGGATCATTGTCCACAAGTTAATCGATCGCAGATGGCGTCGTGGTCACGGACGAATAAAAAAAAAAAAATACAAAAAAAAATTATAAAAAAAAAAAAAAAAAAAAAAAGGGTCGCGAAATATACTTGGGCGGCCGTTAATATACCTGGGCGGCCCGCCCAAATATAGTCTGTGTGGGAAACCCTGACTTTGTCAGGCTTAATATTTATCTGTAGATAGATACCCCCAAAGTTTTTTTCTTATTTAAAAGAAGACCTTAATCTGTTATTTAATGTTCAAATAAAGGTTAATTCGTGTTTCTGTTTTGCACCTCCTCCTATTAATATCTTTGTACATTCTGCACTAAACTGTTTTATTGTAGAGATCACTTATAGTATCTTCTTGATTTTTTATATTCTATATTTATACTTTCCCCCTATGAAAGTATGTACTCTTAATATTGTTTTAATCAAATAAAACACAAATTCAATAACGTGCTTTAACCACTAGGCGGTGCACACAAGGTACACACAGCCATAATAACTTTGTATTATTAGTGTAGGACACTTTTGTTTTCGTACAACATCTGAAGATGTGTAGTTTTATGCATGCTTTCACATAATTTTACAGCATATTGCTATACTATTTCAGACTCAGTATTTACATTCTTACATTCAAAGAAAATCAGTAATATCTTTAAAAACTACAGTCCTTTTATATCAGCTGTGCACCGTTATGGTGTAAATATAACCTATCTGTGAATTAGATCAAATGTAAAAGTCAGCCGAATTAGTGTTGATACTGCAAGGAGACGTATTGTGTGAAGAGAAATTGAAGATGTTGTTTAATTGTTGAATATATTTATGACCCACGTCAAGTATTCAGTTTCGGCGGCATTTTCTCAGTTTTTCTAAAGGTCTTCTCATCAGGGCTCTATAAATAAAGAACTACGGCAGATCTGTAATATACAATGCAGCCGAACCGTGTATTACAATGCCGTTATGTGATGACTTTCAAAGAGAAAAGCAAGAGCGCTCGGAATTAAGTATTTTATTCTTTTAAAATGTTTTCCGGATTTCATATCATATAAACACCAAATCCCAGCATGCATTGCGGCTAAAACATCCAATAAGCGAGCTTAAAACCATAGCTGAGGATCTTGGGTAATTGCTCGAAATGCCTACGTCTGTTTCCGGTTATTTTTATTTTGAAATTCAGTTCCTGACGGACGCCAAAAAAGCCAGAGATTATGGAATTAAACCAATAAATAAAAGCAAGGATAATTGTGTGTTATTGGTGAGTAAATAACAGTGTGTTATTTTGAAAAGAATAACAAATTAGAAGGAAAAAAAGATTAAAAATAAAAAATACAGATTTCAGTATCCTGAGGCTCTGAGCCCCATTTATTTTCCTCACAGACAGCAACAAAAGTCCAAAATTATACGATTTCAACTAAAAGCAATAACTGTGGCTTGATATTGAGTAAGAACATGTTTTTATGAACCACACAGCTTCCGGTCTTCCTCGACCCGACCGGAGAAAAAGACGTGCTGCAGGCAGTAGAAATACATTGCTTTTAAAATCGTGCTGTGCAACATGAAAAAAAGGGGCAAATCGTGTTGGTGAACACGAATCAATAGATTAAAAATTGTGTTGGTGAACACGAAATGCCGTGAGACTGGGTTGACACAACAGCACAAGATCCAACTACTTCTGGAAGGTCCAGGTGTTTTAGTATACATTTAGGTGCAACAAAGAGACTTTAAAGTGCCATACAAAGAAAATGGGACATTTGCATTATTCATATAGTCTGTGTTAATGTTATTTACTTACCTTTCTAATGGAAGTTAAATGTTGTTAATCGAGGGGTGAGAACCAGAGGGGCGTAAGTGACATTTGACCAACTTTACAGGAGAGCCAAAACAAAAAATGACCATACTTTATCCTGACTTTGTTTATTAAATTCAATCTTTAATATGAATATTCATAAACATGTGGATGATAATATACTTAATGAACAATATTTTGACTTTCATTGAAAAAAATATTCTTCTTTTTTTTTTTTATTCAGAATAAAGTCACATGCGCCTTTTTGGAACTAAGATTTTATATCATAGGAACTAAAAAAAAGGGCGTATCTGATAAATATAGGAAAAAGGCTTTACATTAATGAGGTCAAAAGTAACAGTAATCAATTGTTATAATAACAATATTATATGAAAATATCCTTATATCATATTAGTTCATTGAATGTAATTATTTAAAAAAACAAAAACATTAATAACCATTTTGCCAAATAGTTAATTATTTAGCCATTTCCCCAAATAACGGATTGAAAATATGCTAAAGAGTCCATTGTGATCATATCAAATATCAATATCACATTAGTTCACTGAATAACAATACATTACATTAAACCTGGCCTAATAACTGTTTGGCAAATCAAAAACTACTTTAGAACATTGGGAATGTCAAATATAGCAATATAATTATATACGACAGCATATTTCATGCAGATCATGTAAGTTTCAGATTGATTTGAAACGACAAACTAGCCTACTCTGCCTACATAGGAGTGAGGGATACTCCCATTTGTGCGAGTACGTCTTTATTTTTCACAGCAGAGATCCCAGGTGGACCTGTGTGCATCTTCTTTGGTTCAATTGCATGAGCACCTCTGGTCTCCTGCTTTCCAACTTGCAGTTTGGTCGGACAGCTCATATTTGAACTGAATCCTTTTCGGATCCTTTTTTGTGATCCTGATCCTGATTGTGATCCTGATCCTGATTCTGATCCTGATTTTGTGATCCTGATTTGTGATTTTGTGATCCTCTTTTGTTTTTGCCATTTCATTTTCTGCCAACAAACTGTTTGTCCCTCTGTGTCATTGGTTCTGTTTCGGACCGTGTGTTGTAAGGCTGTGCAATTAATCGTATTTTAATCTCGATTACGATTTTGGCTTGCAACGAGATCCACAGTTTCCCCGCAGCGAGGCCCCCCCCCCCCCCCCCCCCCTGTTGACAGTTCACGAGCGTGCCCCCTCGACTTCATCCACCACATCATAGTCATCAATTAAGGACGCACTTTACAGTGCAACGGCCTACTCAACCAGCTCGCAAGGACACAAAGATATAACACATGCCATCACATTCTACATAGCTAAAGACATGTGCCCGGTTAGTACGGTTAGCAACCAGGGGTTTAAGCAACTGGCTAACACTATGGACAAGCGTTAAGCGATGTCATCTCGGTATCATTTCACCAGATCTGCACTCCCTGCCCTATATGACAAATGCCGTGGGGAAGTTACAAAATATGTGGCTTTAGCTGAATACTTTGCAGTTGAGTTATACTTAAAGTTCAGGGTAATCAACTGTTAAAAAGATACTGTTCAAATTATTATTTATTTTTTAAAGTTCAATAAATGGATGTTTTCAAAGTCAATGAATAATCGTATTTAATAATCGTGATATCAATATTGACCAAAATAATCGTGATTATGATTTTTGCCATAATTGAGCAGCCCTAGTGTGTTGTGAGAAGAACTTGAAATCCAGAAAGTCACTGTACCCAAGCTCAATCACCTTCTATGGCCTGTTCCTCCTTGCCAGGTACAGTAGTACCCCTCCGAACTGTACAAAGGCCCTTTTTTTCTGTCGGTCTCAATGGCTGCATGAACACTGTCACATTCCATCTTGCTGTGCACACTCCATGAATGTATGATCAATAATGGAGATGGGCAAGGTTTTAACTGCATGGAGACACATGGCACTAAAACCAGCATTCCTGTTCTGCCCACCACATGTGTCAGAGTACAGCACCACATGCTCAGTACCTGAAAGAGTTGACAGATACTGGAACATGCATGTGCTGATCTCTGATGAGTTGAATTATCTGTTGAAGATGGATCTGTAGAAACTAAGTTTCCTTTGTCACTCAGCATTGACTTTGAATCCTGGATTATTTCATTCTCTTCATCAAGCTCTTCTGCATCTTGAAATAAGCTTAGTAACACTTCTTCAGCAGTGAAAAGCTTTCTTCTCATGGTTGACCTAGCTTGCTTACATATGGTGTCAGCCATTTTGACTCAAGTGCTATCCAAAGGCTTTACCCATAATACATTTCTCAGGGCCAAAAGGGCGTAAGTGCACTTACGTCCTTTTGGCCCCAAATAGTGTGTTCTGTGTTAGGTCTTTTGGTTTTTGATGAATAACTCTGGATTGGTTTTGAATTCACATGCACCCTTTTGGCAGTAGAAATAGCTCATTGAGAGCTTTCATTTGATATATATAACTGATTTTTGACCAAAATGTCACTTACGCCCCTCTGGTTCTCACCCCTCATAATATCGATTTGTGTATTAAGGTATCTGCAGTAAGTATTTGCAGACTAAGTAACAAAGTACATTTAAAGGACAATATCTTTCAAGTAATAAGTGTTGAAGAAATGTACCAAGTTTTTTTGTGGTTGGCCTATATCATTATCACTTGTGATTTTCATTCAAATAAGGCTCAATAGCTGCATATAAGCTTAAGGTAACTCAAAGCTAATATCTAAATTGGCTAACTACTTAGCTTTAAAGATAATTAAATAATAGAGTTAAAACCAAACTTAAGTAAACAAGTAAAATGTCAGATGTTGAGTCTTACACTAAGAGTGATGAAGTGAGTGTAGTAGAAAACGAGCAACCACAGGCAACTGAAGATCCGAAAATGGATAACCTTTCCACACAAGAGCCATAAAGGAGCCAAAGAGTCCGGAAGTTAACGGAAAAGGGCCAAGAACTGCACGATGAGCAAGTAACAAGACTTGTGCACCGTTTCAGTGTGAGCTACAAAAGGTGGAAAGATATCACAAAGGAAGCCAAACAAGCGCTAAGTGGTCAATGCTCTAATGACCTGCTGCATGAATACTCACTAAGGTAAGCAAGACCTCCAATGATGTAAATATTGCTTATAAAGAGTTGAGGCTTATTGACATTCCTGACCATGAAACACGTCGCAGAGAAGACACCTGTGAAGCAGTTACAAAGACAATCATTGAGACTGCAAGAGAACGAATAGACACAAGAAAGGACAAAAGTCATGAGGAAGAAGAAATTGGTAAAAACCAGACAGTCTGTATGCAAATCTGTTGCCTCTGTTAAGAGAAGTAATGGCTCTCATGTCACCAGGTCCTCGACTCATTCTCATAGCAACTCGAGAGCCACATCAAGAAGTTCATTCCTCTCTTCTATCAAAAGACAAGATGCCGCTGCTGAAATTGCTGCAAATGAAGCGACTTTAGAAGTAATGCTAGAACAGGAACAACTGATCGAAGAACTTGATATACTGGAGGCTGAAGCTGCTCAGTTAAGAGCCAAACAGGAGGCAGACAATGCTGAGAGGCAAAGAGAGTTACAAGCCAAGCGCAGACAACTAGAGCGGTAAAGAAGCTAAAAGCGGCAAAGGCGAGACATCAAGTATATGAACAGAAAGCATGCATGCAGGTTCTGGTCCAGGCTCTCGTCATCTCACGCCTAGACTACTGCAACTCCCTCCTGGCTGGTCTACCTGCATGTGCCATCCGACCTCTGCAGCTCATCCAGAATGCAGCGGCTCGTCTGGTCTTCAACCTTCCTAAATTTTCCCACACCACTCCGCTCCTCCGCTCCCTTCACTGGCTTCCGGTAACTGCTAGAATCCACTTCAAGACACTGGTACTTGCTTACCATGCTGCGAATGGATCTGGCCCTTCGTACATCCAGGACATGGTTAAACCGTACACCCCAGCGCGTGCACTACGCTCTGCATCAGCCAAACGACTCGCTGCGCCCTCGCTGCGAGGGGGACCCAAGTTCCCATTGGCAAAAACACGTGGGTTTGCTATCCTGGCTCCAAGATGGTGGAATGAGCTCCCCATTGACATCAGGACAGCAGATAGCTTGCACATCTTCCGGCGCAGACTGAAAACTCATCTCTTTCGACTCCACTTCGAGCGATAGAACTATTAACAAAGCACTTATATACTAATAAAGGACTGGCTTATCTAAAGCCAGTTGAGTAGCACTTGAAATGTTTTGGCTCTATGAAACCTGATGTACTTATATGATTCTGTTTTCTTCAAGGTTGTGTCTTCCTGGTCGAATGTACTTATTGTAAGTCGCTTTGGATAAAAGCGTCAGCTAAATGTAATGTAATGCTCAGACGAAGAAATTAGCGAGCTGCTCCATCAACATGTTCCTCTGGTTGTGAAAGAAGAACTCAAGCATAAAAGCAGTGAACTGCAAAACCACTCACCACCTCAAGCTGTGACACAACAAAAACAAGAAGACAGTACTTCAGCTCTTGTCAGAGCTCTTGCAGAGTCCATCAGTGCAAGTCGTCTACCTGTGCCTGAACCTACAACGTTCAGTGGTGACCCACTGAGGTTCAATGACTGGAAGGTCTCCTTTCGTACACTCGTTGACAGGAAACACATCCCAGCTGAAGAAAATATATACTATCTAAGAAAGTATGTGGGTGGACCCGCCAAGAAGGCCATAGAGAGCTACTTCCTGCTAGGCACAGAGTCAGCCTATCATGCCGCGTGGACCATCCTAGAAGAGAGGTACGGTAATCCTTTCCTCATTGCTAAGGCCTTCAGAGATAAGCTTGATGCATGGCCCAAGATAAGTTCCAAAGACAGCGTAGAACTTCAAGGGCTCTCTGACTTCCTTCGCAGCTGTGAGGCTGCCATGTCACAGAT